GAGATTAACACTCAAACTTGCGCCAAATGGGAATTTGGCACACAGTTTAGGAAATGCAAACACGTGAATTAATAACCTGAATTATGCAAATATGAAGCTGAAATTCGCAATTTGTTTTAAAAAGCTGAAAGGTCTCCTGTTAATTGGTTTATCCATGTCTAGGCATTACTCAAATGCTTCTGGTTTAGTTAGCAGCTTGTTGCAGGTCAGGAAAAAAAAGCCTAGGGAGGCTTTAAAGAGCTAAAGCACCAGAGTTCTGCTCCCTCTTTTATATGGAGAAGGTTTGTTGCTTCCAGAACCAGAAACAGGCTGTTTCCATTTAGCTCAGAAGGATTCCATTTAGCTCACATGGCTGAGCTGTGCTTGGCAAGTAGCGGGAGAACAGAAAGGGGAAAGAGCTCTGCATCAAGGGCCAAGGACTAAATTCTTTAATCATCTTTTACCATCATGTAACACCAAGGATGGGATTGCTGCCCCTTAATATATTTATCCTTGTTATATCTCACAGCACACGTAACGACAACTGTTACTTTAAAGGCGGGAGGGAGAAAACTCCTACTGACACGTGCAGAGGGGAACATCCTTCTGGCAGAAAGGCCTGACCCCACCAGAGTTTTTATTCCATAGATGTTCCCTGTAAAGTGTAACTGAAATTGAAACACAACAGAAGGGGCAATAAAAACAACAGGTCACCTCTGGAGTCACGGAGACACCCAATACTACTTTCCTCCTTTGAGCTTCTCTCTGGCACAGTTTGCACCAAGTTCAAGAAAATCAGCCTTTCAGCTCACAGCCCTTCCAAAATAACTGCTGGAAAATATAAAATAGAGGAAAACTGGTGAAATCCGCAGTGCTTTGTTCCTCCTTACAAGCCTCTTCAGAATAGCAAAGAGGCTTCAGTGGCACAGACCGACAGAAATCCCCACTGCTTGCAAGTATTCAGGATGCTCTGCCACTGCAAAGCAGCTCAGCTCGATCTGCCTGACCTCAGGTGAAAGTGTGCTGTGATCTTCTGATCTGCAGGGCTGGCACCGGCTTCAAAGCAACCGCTTTGCGTGACGGTTATCACATTTTTCAAAGGGAGAAAGAGACGCTGAAGGAGTTCTACGAGACCTCGAGAAGGGGCAAGGAGTCCCACGGCCATAAACTGTGAGAGTGAGACAAGGGAAATCCAATACCTTGGATGAAAATCTTTATATAGGAGAGATCTTTATTCTGAACGCACTTCCAAGATACAGGAAAAAACAGGATGCTCCAGGCTCTCCCCAGGAGACTGAAATGAGGCTTAGCACCCCGAGGTATCTTGTTGATCCATATTCATATTGATAGTGAGTTTAAAACAATAAAAGACTGCCCTTAGAGTGTTATTAAACATTGAAATTCCAAGCAAAACGATTTTTGCACCCACAGTTTCAAGCTTATTTCTACACTGAGCTTATTTTTTCAGTGGCCAACACAGGTGGCAATAAACATAATAATTTTAAGATTTCATAAGAAACTTTATTTTGCACGAACCTGAGAGTTAACTGCTTTTCATCAAATATTTTACTGTTTACCTCTTTATGTACGTTTTTTTCTAACGCTTGAGGAGCACTGGCCAAATTCTGCTCTTTTCACTCACAGCCCCATCCTTAATTGGGCAGCTTTGCCTGAGAGAGGACAGCAGGTGCTGGCCCTCAATTAATAAAAAATTGGCATGGGGAGACCAGGAGCTGCTCACAAGTACCAGCAACCAGTTGCCAGTTCATATCTAATCCAGAGCAGTCACATCTGGAAGGCAATACCAGGTAACACCTGCACCTGAGCTGTGTGACCAGGAGAACTGGTGGATTTAATCTCGTTCTTAGGGGTCTCAGTAAACTCAATGTGAAACTTTTTATGCAATTAGAATAATACTCCAGAATTACCAGAGCTGCCTTCTAGGCAGCTGAGGAGAAGGGCCATGGAATAAGTGGCGTGAACCCAGACAATCTCTGCACCCTGGCAAGGCAGAGAGCTCTTCAGCGCTGGACTAAAATCTATCACCAAGGCTCTTGTTTCATTTTGCCTGTGTTTTTCTTCCATAATTAGGAGCTTTTTAGCTATCAGAGTACATCAAACCTGTACCTTCCACAAGCACCGAAGTCACTCAGACAAATATATCAAACATCAATATGAAACTAGAAGGGGGAGGAGAAAAAAGAGAAATCTGCTACAGCATCATCTAAAACATAAGACACTAAGTAATAGCGTTAAAAAAAAAAAAATCTGTTTCATACAGATGAAAATCATTACAGTTCTCCAGAGACCCTCTCTCTCTCTGCAGCAACCCGTGTCATTTCCTAGCTGGTAAAAATGTGCCACAGGATATCAAAAGGCGGTAACGTTCTTCTAATTTTAATATTCCTCTAATCCAATAATGGCTTGTTTACTGCTTTCTAATTTAAAGGTAATTCATTAGACGTCTCCTGTCACATCTTATTGGCAATGAAAGCATAAGGATCCCACACAACTCTGAGCCATGTCAGTCATACTGCTAATATTCTGCGTGGGTCCCTCAATGTAAAGGGCTATCGATGCAACAGCACTGATAGAGGACTATGTGTGTGTAGCCACCTAAAAACTGCAACCAAAAATATTAAAAGGGGTGAAGTCTGTACACAAAAACTTTACTTTCAGCATTAGTAATTCTAGCGAACAGGAAATATTTAAGGTAATATAGGTGATTTGTGTGCAAATATTTGTGATGGTGACACAAGGGGTATTGCACAGCCTGTGGGGAAGCGCCTGGCTGACCTGCAGAGGACTCGGATGAGTCTGCTGCAAATGACCAAGGTTAAGGAAACATCAGGCAAAAGAGGCAGCCTGAACTCTGGAACGCACATTTCAGGAGCCAGACCACGCCAGGCAACATCTGTTGCAATTCTGCAAAAGCCACCCGAGACAGCTGAGTTTTCGAACCACCCTAGAGCAAAGGAACAGGAACCGAGACCAAGGGCTTCTTACCTGCCAGACCTTGGCAGCACAGAGGCCCTGAGGTCCCTGGGTGAGCAGCAGGAACCCTCAGCACAGCGGGGAACTCGGGCTCTCCTGCCTCACTAGCCAGGGCAGCATCCACCGGGCAGCACGGCTTCCCTGCTCATTCCCCTGGCACGGGGGCCGTGCCAACCTCCACGTGAGCAGCTCTACCCCGAGCAATAAGGCAAAGCAGGTAATTTACTACAGGTGAAAGCTCTGTGTGCTCAAACACGCTGTTCAGGCAGTTCTCCTGCCACAAGGGCCTAGAACTCTGGCTGTTTTATACTCTGCCAGAAACCAGCTCAGTCCCATTACCTCTCTCTGTGCCAGGGAACTAATATGTCCATAATCAATAGTCTCTTCCCAAGAAGTGAAACCTTTAACCAACCAGATTAACTACAGACACGAGGCTGTTTAATGAACGGTCACTATCTCAGAGGGAGGACAGAAGACGGAGAAACACAGTAACACTGTGCTTAGGAAACCACCAAACTTGTGTTATTCCTTAGGAGCACGGCAGGATCACCACATCAGTTTGGAAGACAGTTTGGGTCAGTACGTGCCCAAACCCATCCCCTCATTGGCTGTCGGTGATGTCATGCCCGTGCATTAATCCCCGGTGACTGCAGGTTTAACATCGCATGTATCACCACATCATCTACTAACGACAATGACCGCGCGTCTTGGAGGAAATTACTCGAGCAGAGAACAAAGCAACTTGTTGAAACAGGGAAAGTCGCATCTCTTAAGTGCTTATTTCCAGCTTTTCTTATGCCAAAGTGAAGTTGCTGGGGTCAGCCTATAACACATGCCTCGCCGAAAGGATTGGGTATGATTGGAGTTCTCTTTAAAAGAAAATAAATCCTCGAGATCTCCCACTCAGAAAGGTGGAAGTGCCAGTGGTGAGAAACCAGCTGATCTGGGAAATTTCATGAGCTATAAAATCAGTAGCTGGAACTATAAACATTTTTATAAAGGGGGAAAAAAAAAAAAAGTGGTATTTGCAGAGCAAGCTCGTCCCTTTACTAGCGACACCTCCATCACTAAAATAACGGTGGCAGTAAATGAATTGCGTGCAGACACACTAGTAGAGAGGTATATTTAACTCTAACACCACTACTTGGAGTGTTAAGGGCTGACACTCACACAGCCACTCTCCCAGCGCCGGAGCCTGCCCAGCCCGCGGGGTTCTCTCCACACCTATCGAGAAGAGCAAACACCCCCGACACCTGCGATGCCCGGAGCCGGGGATCCCGCTGTCCCCAGGCCGGGCAGCCCGCCAGCCCCCCATGGCTTCTTGGGGAACAGACAAACCACTGTTCACCCACCGCACTCCCGGCAATTGCGCTCCCAAACACAAGTTAGGCGGCAGAGGAAGCGATGTTTATCCCGGCTGCCTCCCCCGTGGTGCGGATCACACACAGCCCTCCCGGGAGGAGCAGCACCGACCGCCAGCCCCGACAGCCGAGGGGACACAGCCCAGCCCAGCCCCTCCTGGACAGGAGCCCCAGCCCGGGCAGCCAGAGGGGATCCCCAGCCCCAGCCCCGCTCCTCGACTCCGCTCCCCGGCACCGCTCACCTGTCCGCCTCCTCGTCCTGCGGAGGCAGGAGCGAGGTGCGGGGAAGGGGGAATCGCCCACGAGGGAGCGGGGAGCGCGCCCGGCGTTCAGGCTGCCAGGAGGATCCTCCGCACAGACTCCCGCACGTAGCGGCGCATCGCCCAAAGTGGCTTTGGAACTCCCCTCCCTCTCCTCCTCCTCCTCAGAGACGGCGCTGGCAGTGCCGTGTCACGGCTTCGCTGCCTCTCCCACCCCCGCGGGCTCCCTCCTAGCGCTCCCCCCGTACCTGACCCCACCGCGCACGGTGAGTGCAGAGCCAGCGCTGCTCGGGAGAGGTATCCTCTCCTCCCTGCCTTCCTCCTTCCCTCCCTCCCTCTGCTCTGGGCAGCGGGATGCTGCCGGGGAAGATCGCGCTGCCTTCCAGAGGCAAGGCAGAGCCTTCCCTTAGCCCGGTTTTTTAGCCGCTTGAAGGAGCTCTGACCTTATTTCAGCATCCGAGTGGTCGCTGTTCAGCCGAGGGAAGAGGCAGGAGATGTTTTCTAGCTCGCAGCCGGGCCGGAGTTCGCAGCATCTTTTGGAGACAGGCGCAACTTGAGAAGGGTGCGGAGGGTCAGGGCCACAATCTCCCCCCGCCTCTTACCGCATGTCTGATCGCTGCTGACCCTACCCCACAGTCCTGCGGGTTATCAGTAAATCATCACCTTCACAAATGTAGTTTAAATGGGAAAAATGAGAGGTGGTGTTTCCCTGGCTACAAAGCCGGGGTCACTTCAGCAGCCACTGGGAAACGGATTCTGCTTCTTGCTCTGCCGCTCACTCCGTGCAACCTTTATCACCTCACTTTACGCCCTCAGTTTCTCCCATAGCTCCGGTGCTTGCCTAAACAGTGATGCCCAGATACGTGCTTCTGTCATGAATTTAAATATGTGTATTTCTGTGAGAGGGGGCAGTGTCTCACCGTAAGTGACCGTAGGGCTCAGTGCAACAGTAGGTTGATCTCGTCTGTATTACCTGAATCCTGGTGTGATACAAATCATCATCCTCCTGGACAAACATTCCTTAAAGTGGAAGAACCACTGAAAAAATGCCTTGTGGAACAGAGCAGGCTACTTTCATCGCAGGAAGTCACTCGTTGGCTGCTGCTGTGGAATTGCATATTGCTTTTCGAGTTGTTTTTGTGCAACTTCTCTAGTGCACATGTGAAAGATGGTAAAAATCTCAGCAGCTTTCACACCACCGTTCACTGTAACTTAATAATACAGGAGCAGACCCTCACATCCTGTATAAATTCATTTAGTCTGAAAGAAAGGGTCCCCCTTAGCTCTCCCTCATTTCATGTTAGCACAACTCAACTATGCTCTTTTAATCAGTAAGAGTTATGATACAGTCAAATATCCATCTCATTCCTTAAATGAGAAGCTGTCACCTTCTTTGCCTACTGCTCCTGGCATTTAACATCCCTCCAGACCTCTAGCGAGCCTTGAAAAGGGTACACAAAAAAGGCAGAGACAGGAGGGAGCTCCAAGGTTGCATAAAGAAATGTGAGAAGTAGGTTTGGGGGAAAGGGAGAGAACTGGATGTAATGATGGAAAAGGGAATGATTTAGAGGACAGGAGACACAAATCAGCAGAAAAAAGGTCTGGTCTTTCTGCCGAGAGTACAATTTGTTGAAAGTAGGCTGGTCAGACAGGGATTATATAGGATCAACACCCCCTGGTACGTGGAGATGGAGCAGTTTCCCAGCTGTGGGTGCTCTTACAACTGGTCTGCTGAGCCACAGAGGACAGGAGTTCACAGCCCTGCCTGGCCTGGTGCTGTCCTGTGCTCATATTTCCTTCCACAACTGCCATCCCTTAGTCTCGGTTTTCCCATCCAGACAACGGAAGCAGCCACATTTCTTGTGCAGCATTGCTGTCAAAATGAATTAAGAGGTCCAAAGAGTACTTTGAAATGCAGATATTATGCTCACTAGTTTTAATGCCTCCAAAGCGGTCTCCAGATATCCCTAAATCCTCAGGATATCCCTGATCAATTCCTGTTTTACAGATGAGGAAGCCAAGCAGAGGGAGGGGTGCTTTAGTCCATCTCTTTTATGTCGGGCTCTGAGGGTCCCCCTGACCTTGCCATGGCTCAGGTTCCCAGCTGTTGGCCCACAGCGTCCAAGCCCCACCCAAAGCCACCTTTTGCTGATGACACAGAGCGAGCACCACAGATGCAGAGCCTTCACACCTGGTTGCTAACCCCCTGTAAAGCTATTTCCCTTGAGAGGTCAATGCCCAGGCCTGAGCTCCCATCCCCTCCACCTGGTGTGGTACACATATTTTATGGCATCCACTGTGCCCTGCAGGATCCCCTTCCCGGAACACTCGGGCACTGTAGGGCTCAACTGGATCTCCCCCCATATTTTCCTTGCCTTTGCAGGTGTACTGGGAAGGAGCAGGACACAGGAGCTTCTTCTAGTCCCCAGGCCTGTGATCAAATTATCTCTCCCTCTGTCACACATCCTAATCATCACAGCTGGCGGTCATGCCAACAATATTAAGGCTGCTGAGTAGCTTTCGGCTTTGCAATTAGCAAGGTTTTCTGCTTCCCTCAAATAAAAAATAGGCTTGTACTTCTTAACACTGCATAAATGATACAGATACATTCAAGGCCCGTGTTAGTGCCTTGTTGAGATGAACCAACATCAGAAGTGCTGCAGGTATTTTAAATCTTTTGGAGATTAAAACGGTTACAAAGCTTATTATTTCTAAACATGTTTATCCTGCCTCTCTTTTTTGTTTGCAAAATTAGGCAAAGCACAGTTTAAATAAACAACTATTGTACTATTAAACATTGATTAAAGAAAAGGGTTCCATTTAAATTATTAAGTGGTGAGATAAAAAGCATCCCTTCTCTTTTGTACGCTACTTTATTCAGAAGTCAAACTTCTGTAGTCTCACTGAATGCTAATGAGCAGCATAATAATGCACAAGGGCAAGAGGGGGCTGAGTAATTAAAAACAGAGGCCAGAAATCAAAGGGCTTGAAATACACTTACCAAAATAATTCAATTATACATTAGAAACCTGGGATAATCAAGACACATCCCACAGTTTCATTCATCATTATGCCCCAATTTAATATCTCTACTGGTTTGCTGAACACAGGAAGCAGCAACTGGGACTTTCATGTGCGATGCCTCGGATGAAGAGACAAAGGCAACGGGCACTCAGGTCCCATCCTCATCACACTGCACCTTGAAAATGGCTTCACTTGACTGAGTATATTCTCAGTTATCTGAGGTAGGGAAATATTTTTGGTCACAAGCTATTTCTGTACTGGTTGAATATTCCTTTCTTTCCGTAGGTTTGCAATTAATTAATACAAATCTCCACGCCCACCATTTTATCTTCCCTTTAAGTCGACCTCCCACCTCTCTCCTTGGCTTCACCTCTTCTTGCAGCTTCAGGCTTTCCTGGTTGTCCACAAAAACCTCTGCCAAGCAAAGCAGTGGGCAGGTTTGCTCAGCAAACCGTGTATTTAGCTGGGATGGCATCAGGGGACTCCGAGGTTTCCACGCAACACAAGCTGGGTCAAAAAATCCTGATGTAGCTTTGCAGTGTCACCACTTTTATGAGCCAAGGAGTCCCAGAACAGCTTCTAGTCTCCAGGACAGCAGAGGGAACTGTAACAGTTTTTAGGAAATGTCAGTGCCATGTTATAAAATAAGAAAAAGAAACAGTTTGATCTTGTTCAGTGACTTTGGAGATCGACAAAGGATTTATGCGATTCTGCCTTGATGCAATAAGCAATGATCAAACTTAGTCCCACTGCACTGGTAACAGCTTAATGAAGGGACCTGAAAGTGATGCATTGTCAGGAACTATGGAAAAACCAGAAAAACTGATCAGGAGGTTCCAGCTGACAAAGGAGAGCACTGTGTTCCAAAAGTTTGCGGATGCACAAATTGTTAACTCGGTACAAAATTAGGCAACAACAGGTGAAAAATGTTGGAAACAACCCATTTCAGTCAAAGAAACGAACAAACACACAAACAAATAAATAATCAGAAATTTCAGCAAACCCAACACTCAATTGCACTCCGCTTCCTGAGGAATGAGTCTCATTGCCTTATTATAATTTTTAAAGATTTAAGCATAGAGGCTTCTGGTTGTCTCTAATGAGCAATGAAGTCAAACTAAACACTGCTGCGCTTCACGAGGTGAGAGGAGCCCGTAGGCCAGCACAGGTCACAGTATTAAATGGTCACAAAGGGAAACAAGAATCTCAGGTCAAGTTTTCCAAAACTAGGGGTCTTAATTAAAACATTCAGCAGATGGGCACTCTTCAGCATAGTCCCAGCTATTACTGAGCTTTGCTGCATCTTCCATTCAGAACAAAAACAAAGGGCTGCATGTGAAAAGGGCGAGGGAGCTTCAGCCAGTGTATGACAGCAGCTAATGTGGATATCTCCCACTTTCCCCAGCCCTGTCAGCCACATCTTCCTCAGTCAGAAATAAGGCTCTTTTTGAGTTGATTCCCCTCTCCAAAAAAATGCATATTCACTTGTTAAAAAGGGGATCATTAAAACAAACAAACCAGCCCATAATGTGAGTAGAGCAGTGATTGCCAAAGGAGGAGAGGGAAATGTGCAACTTAGACATAATTTCAACACACAGTGAGTTAGAGAGCAAAATACCCATTTTTTCCCCCATTTTTCTAATGAGAAATTCATATTTAGAAGAGAAGACACAAACATTTCTTGATTTTTCAGAGGGGGCGACTGAAAGGGAGGGGGCTGTACACAGGGGCAGAGCCTGAGCTCCACAGGAGCCCCACTGCTCAATATTCATTTCTCAAGTTTGTGGTTGAAATACTCTAATAGATATCTTAGTGACATCCTCTTCCGAGAAACAGTCCGGGGCAGTAATTCTGACAGGACAAGTCAGCTGTAATGAATCTCTTCCCTCAGCGCAGATGGGGCCTCGCTTTACTCACGTGCACGGCTCCTTCCCCTTCCTAAGACTACGTGGAGACAACAGAAAGTAGCTCTGGCCTCTTGTCTTACCTGCCTTGAACAATATAGTGGAAATCAATAAATGAACTTCATTTTCTTTAAATATGCAATTACATGGAATAGATTACAGAAGTGACAAAACCCAGAACAACTCCACAAACACAGAGCTGGGCTCTGATTTCTATCAATACGAGATGAAAGTTGTGTAGTTGCTCATTTGCAGCTCAAAGCTGCATTATTTTCCCTAACTCAGGCTGTATTGGTAGTCATCTGAACTCTGTAAAGCAGAACTATCAAGCCATCTTGATATTCCTTCCACAGTAAATAACGATTTACAGAGGAGGGGAGGAAATCTCCCTTGCCCTCCCTCTTTCAATTCATTAAGTTCAACTGTGATAACCAGTGAGGCATACAGGAAAGGGTTAGGTATCTCTGCCTCTGAATATTTAATTCAGGTCTAAATGTAATGCACAGCATCCTCACACCCTTGGGAGTTCAGCAGCCAATATGCCAATGAATATATCCTGACAATAGTGATTTTTTCTGCACTTTGGAGGCATGAGTGACATTTGCTCACCACATATGTTGCATCGGATGCTGAGGTCTACACTTGTGAGAAATTAATCAGAATCCATCTGTTTCCTTCTCATCCTGGACAATTTCATTACAACTTAACCAAAGATTATAGGATTCCCATGTCTGTGTCCCCAGCCCCCAGCCCAGTCTTGGTGTTTCCACACTGAACGATTAAAGCTGCTTAGTTTAAGTAAGGTCAGAATCAATCTTCCTTCCTGTAGGGAAAGGCATAATGCTCATGAGCAGGGTCCAAAATCTGCTCTAAATTACATGAAGGTAAATCCAGAATATCCCTACTGAACCATAGGGGGTTTAGATTTATCATGGAGCAGGATGTGGACCTTGATCTGTCAATGCGTGTTTCTGGTGGCTGGTTCTGATCGACTTCAGGCTCGAAACGGCTCAAAGTCAGTCACTGCAGGTCCTCTGTTATGTTTTCTCTTACCTGCCCAGGTGATGAGCAGAGGGACGGCTCAGCCCTTCTGTGGGGCTGGGGGATACTGGGGCCGCTGTTGGAATAACGTGCTCTGACTTAAAATATTGCCTGTACTTAGACAAGTGCCTTACACAGACAAGCTCTTTGCTTACTTCTTATTTACTAGTACTTCCTTAATTCAGTGTCATAGCAAGGGAGAACTGGACATAAAAATTGCTTGGACTCTGATTTATAATGCCAAATTTTGTGCAATGATGGATGAAGAGCTTAACAAGTGGGTTTTTCTGGGAGTTCTTTGGACAAGGCACAAATGGCACAAAAAACTCCGAAAGCATAGACGTCCATGGGAATCTGTTTCCCAATTTCTCAGTGACAGTTGCAGCCAAGCCTGTAAATATGAGGTTTCTTGAACAACAGAGAAGCCAAAAACATGAATCCAAAAGTCAGGTTTTCATTACAGTAACTATGGACAAAGAGATACAGACTGGCTGCCTGGGAAAGCCCACTAAAGAGGGAAATGAACTCCAGTGATGAGGAGCAGCTGTGGCACCCAGAGTCTACAATCAGGGAGGCAAAACCTGATACGGGGGATCCAGACTGCACACAGGGATGGCAGGTCCCAAAAACTTCCTGCCACTTACCTGTGAGTTCTTTGGCTGCTTGGCCTGGGTACTTTGAGGGTACTTGGAGACACGAGGTTTTCCACCAGCTTCAGCAGCTCCTCCTTGGAACAGCTCTTCCAGTCGTGGTTGGTCCCACGGTACCACTCGAGGTCCAGATCCCAGGCTGTGAGGTGGCAGAGAGTGGGTGCTGGTCCCTCTGAGCACTGAGCTGCTGGGCAGGAGCAGCAGGACCCCAACAGGGTTGATGTGGTTGCCCTAAACTAGGCAAACACCCCCCAGCACAGCAGCTTCACGGGGACCAACCCCAAAAGCTGAGCGTGCTGGCAGCGGGAGAGGAAGAAGACAAGCGGGCAAAGTTGTGCAGAAAGAGCAGCTATGAAAAATGGCAGTGAGACCTCAAGCAAAGAAATTCATCCAGCTGTGGGGAGGTGGGAGCTGAAGGCAGATGAGATGTGCAAAGCAAAACACCACTCAGCAGCCTGAGATGGGAACCACACGAAGCTCCCTGACCCCGCTTGGAGCCTCCCCCACTTCTCACAGCCATTATTCCAGCTGACTTGCAGATACCCGATGGTTATTTTTGAAATGAAGGTGCATTCAGATCGGGCTGTCACAGCCTGTCTTTTCAATCAGGAGCTACTTGATCAGATGCTTTTTTTGCTGTAACATAATCACATGATAGCAGGGCTTTAAATGGGACCTGTATTCCAGCTCCAGTGCTGGATACTTACTTGCCAGAAAGATATCAACACATTGGGAGATAGCTATAAAAGAGGAGAGAGATCTTGCATAAATTAACTTATGCTATTTATAGACATGGAGAGCAGTCTATCCATGGGACCATCTGCTAATCTATGTCCCATGGCAATTAAAGTCAACGTTTCATCATATCTTTTCCATCAAGGGCTGAGATTACGCACTGAACTCTTTTTTTTGTGTAGCACCAACCTTACATCTGTGCTGGTTCAGCATCCCTTTCCAACTTTCCATACCACTTCCCATGTCCGCTCTGTGAGTGCCTGCTGCAAGAAAGGAAAAACTCAAATGGATTATTTGTATTAATATGTAGTAAAAGGGCCAGTAGGTGACAAAGGCTCTATTTAACTTATTGGTTCTCAAGAACTTCTCTGTTTCAAGAAAAAGAAAACAGACATAATGCACTAAATTAATGAATTTATATATTTGATACAAAGCGATCTTCCTACAGTTTAATCTTTTCAGTGCTCCTTGTTATAAACAAACCACATAGATTTTCAGAAGTGACATGACTTGAGACACTATGTTTTTAATCATCCAACCTAAGATGCTTCCAAAAATTATCCAAAACCCGTGAGCAAACCTCTCACCATTTCATTTTCTTCAAGGAAAGGTGGGAGACTAAAAATAATGGCATCCAAACATTTTGCTTTAGAAAACACATAAAGACAAAACCCAACTGTGCTTAATGTATAGTTTGTCCATATTATAGATACAGAGAATTTTCTGGAGTAACTTAAAAGCTTGAGTCCTACTGTCTTGTTCTGCATCTTTTTATACAAAACACATTTTTATTACTCCATGTAATTTTAATAATTTATACTGGCACCATCACTTTAGTGATTGCATTCACTACATTTACCAACAGCAGTTACTACAAAAGCAAGAAAGAAAAAACAGAGGGTTTGATTAGCAGGAAGATTTGCAGAAAGGCAACCTTGCAGCAGGACTGAAGGGCTCTTGCTCAGGCAGAAGATATTATTTTACAGAAATAATTACAGAAATGCACGTTTCATGGACACTAATACATTTGGTTAATTAAAAAAAAAAAAAAAAAAAAAAGGCTTTCTTAGCTGGTGAGTTGACCAGTTACACGAATAAGAACTCAAGCAATTCTTCACCTCTGTCATAGCTGATATTTCTTCCAGCTTCTTTTCTTCCAGCTGTGTTGGGATGTGTGTGGGGGGAGAAAGAAATGGAGACGTTAAGCAGTGATAGAGCTAAACATTATGCCACTGTTGATCTGAAACTTACTGCAGTCACAAGACAACTAGAAGTTATGTGAGCACAGAGCTGTCCACAATTTATTCTGCCTGAGCTGCTCTGTGTGGGAACGATCACCTCCCAAATCTCCCACTCCCCTCCCTCTGGTTTTCCTTTCCATCACAGGATACAAAAACTCTGAGAATGAAGAGGCTGAGGATGAGCTTCACATCCACGACTGTCTTCCCACAGGTCCAAACTCTCTGCTCAAAACCTAAAGGTTATTATTCAAAGTCCTAGAGGAGAAAAATGTTGTAATGCCTTCCCTCAGCATCTAAAAAGACATAACAGACCATTACTGACTACGGATATAAGATACACAGAGTATACCAGGGCATAGATGTAAGTATTTGTGGAGAGGTTTTAAAGCCATTGTTGTCCATTTTTGCACATTAAAACCCACAAAGAGTTTTATTTAGAGCACTAAATCCTTTCATTTCTCTCTGGCTGGATTTTTAACTATTAAAATATTCATCATGCACTCCAAGAATCTTGATGCCAAGTATTTATTTTATTTTTTATAACCTTTTAAATAGTTCCTTTAAAATACCTTCAGGTGTACATACTGCTCTTTAAGAATCACTGAAAATAAGAGTTTATTGTAAAACAGCGAGAAACGAGGCATCAGGCACTGCTGAGACCTCAGTACAACAAAGGGGTGGATTCCATAAAATTCAGTGCTTAGGGTAGACAGAAGGGGCGTTTTTTCAAAGTTGCAAGTTTTCAAGGTGAAAATTCTTCAGGTTTCACATAAGTAGATATAACTTTCTGTTGCCAAACAGTGGAAGGGGTGGGGGGAAAGCTTCTACCAAAGGGATATTTATGTCTAAACCTCTCATTTGGATTTCCTTTCAGATGGACAATATTTTCTTGTAAGGTGGGTGGCTGGCACTGAGAAAACCCACTATTTTCTGTTTGAAAATTTCCCCCATCTTTTGTCTGACCAGGAAACCCCTGGCCCTGAAAGTGATGCTCTCCCAGCTTGCACGGCCGTGGTGCTGCTGCTCTCCCTGCAGTACCAGATCCGTGCCTCCCACTTCCTAACACAGCCAAATGGGGAGCTGCTCCCACCTCCTGCTCCAGGCAGCCTGGGGAAGTCGATGTGGAGCAGCCCGGGCTGTGTTTGTCAGAGACAATGACATAGCTGCCCTTCCCCAGGTGAATATTGACTCTTGTTGCCCAGACGAGCTGTGGCTGCCCCATCCCTGGAAGTGTTCAAGGCCAGGCTGGAGAGGGCTCTGAGCAACCTGGGCTAGCGGAAGGTGACCCTGCCCATGACAGGGGGGGTTGGAACAAGATGGAACAACCCAAACCATTCGGTGATTCTACGATTCATTCTCTGGTTCTGTGACTGTCATGCAGTGATGCACAGGGTGTGCCCCTGGAGCCTGCTGGCCTTGCACACTCGGCACAGAGGCAGGAGGGGTCACGTGCCACCAAAAGGGATCTCCTATCCACAGGGATGGGATGAAGGGCACAGATGCTGCAGCACCACCACCAGCAGTGCCACAGAGGGTCAGCCCACCTTGTCCTGCAGCTTCTGGGGTGGTGGCAAATCAGGCATATTCTGCCAGGGAAGATGCCTTGGATGGAGCCTCTGACAGAGACCACAGCCAGGGCTGGCTCAGACGCCTTCACACCCCGTGACGTGCTGCTCCTCACCCTGCAGCCTCCTCAGCTAGAGATGCTGAATGTGATCAAATGCAATTTGGCAGCTGTGAAGCTCAGTTACAAACTGCCTGGGAAGAGATTACCTTCGGCTTCCAGAACATTTCTTTTAATTTGAAGAGAAGCCGACACCTCCCCTCTCCTCCCCATGAAGCCTCTGCTTTATGCATGAAGTCAACCTCATTCTCAACACCACATTTTGAACCCATTATGTTCCCCTCTACATTCCCACATGGGATTTAATTTCTTCCATGCAGAAAAAAGATAATATTTTAACTGTCCTTCCTCCTGTTTCTTCTCACGGAGGAAGGAGTCAAGGACTGAGATGCAAACCTGAAAAATTATACCACACTTTTACCGACTGCTTCGGGATCTCCTCCAACACCTCTCCGTCCACCAGGGCTCCTCAGAGGACATGGATATGCAGCATCTTCAGGTGATTTCTTACAGAATCTGTGCCATTGCTTCTCTGTCCAAAGGGCTTTCATTCTGCATCTATATAAATATAGAAAGCAGAGGATAATGTTTACCACCTGCAGTCTCCAAGGAGCAAGGGATGTGCTTGTACATAGTTATTCCACCTGTCTTGTTTTCTCTCCCAGACACCAGGATTAATGAAAAAAGGCAAGTAAGACTGCATTTGTAGACACTGACTACATGATTACTGAACACAGAGCTTAACACTGAACGTCTGGGTCATTTAAAAGGTGACATACATTTGTGAGGAAACACATTTAGTTTATTTATGGACAAGAGAGGGACACAGTGGATCCACTACATCATAGGCCTCCCAAGCAAAATGCTCCAGTCAAGGCAGAGTTAGTGAAGGCATCCCACAAGTGAGGAGGAAGCTTGTTCCTTTGCAGCAAATTGCTGGTTCTTTGGCATATTAGCTATCATTAATGGATTAAATAGCTTTTACTCCAACATGACCTGCTATTTCCACAAACAAGTCTCTTACCTTTACCACATTTATTTCCTACAACCTCTTTGATTTTCATTTAATGTCTACCTAAAACGCTAAAGACCCAGGCACTCCACTCAGTGGCACTGACATTATATTTTAATTAGCAGAGGTCACTTAATGCTTTTAGTACAATCAACAGTTGCTTTCTTTCCATGATCAACTACAAGAGCATCACGTTTAATGCAGACTGATTAAAACCTGAAAATCCTTTAGCATAGAAGTATCTCAAATCAAGTATAATCAAGCTATTGCACATAGATCATTTTCCTTGAAAGCTTTGATTGCAGCACCACCAGGAAGAACAATCCAGGACCTGAGGGTAAATGGCTTCTCTTACACTTTAGGTCTCACCAGAGAGCTGAAAAAGCCATGGGTGGAATTAAACCCCAGGGCTATCTCCAGCTGCGTTTGACATCCATTGAGTGCTTCCAAAACCTTGTCTCAGAAGGAAAACTAAAATTAGGTCTCACATGTGATTGATAAGTGATAGGTAAAGCTCAAGCTGGAGAGATTTACACAGCTCCCTGCTCGGCATTTCAGCTGAAAGCACATACAAAACACTGGGACCAATCATTTAAAGTCTTACAAGTATAAACCAGTCTCCTCACACTTAAATGAAGCTGGGATCCTTCCCCAGTTTCAGCAGAGAAAGACCTATTGGGTGTTTGGTAGGGAGAGATTTCTCTGAAGTGAATAAGTTTTTTGTGGGGAGGGACCATGTTCAGCTCAAGACAGTGGCAAGTCTTCTACTTCAGAGTCACCTGTCCTGTTGAGAGACAGACTTTAAAAGCCAGAGGCAAACAGACAGGGCTACTGTCTCCTGTGTCTAATAGTATTGTTAATCCTTATCCTTCTGACCCATGCACAAAGACAATTATTCCAGGAAACCGATGGTAACCACTCCTTTATAATCCCTGTATTATATCTGCTACAGAGGTTGCAAAGTCAATAAAATGAGAAGAGCTCTTGCCATGCCTGTTATAAATTAACAAAGGCTTTTCATCTTGGTAACTTTTTATTGCTAGACAAGGAGCATATGACAGAAAGCAGATCACAAGCAACAAAACCAGGATGAACTAGACCAAAAAAAAAAAAAAAAAAAGAAGAAATAGAGCAAGCATGTCCTTTTAAAAAACAATTACACAGAGCTCCCTTGGAATGGCCATATACATCCCCAGACCAGCCGCTTTCATCTCCTCCGCTGCATTTAGGTTATGAAAGGATTTAGTTTCCCAAGAAAAGAATTTGAGACACAAGGAAGGCAGGGCAATTTTAAATTAAACAGCATGACTATGGTAACATCTGCAATAGATTGGATGCCCTAAACACAGTGCAGGGGAGATCTGCCGTCTTATCTACGGTTTGGTAAATAATTTCTCCTACCTCAAGGGTCATTACATCTTCAGCTCTTTCTGTCATTTGTGATTCCACTGAGAGGCTGAAGAATAAAGTCTCTACAGGTGCTTATGGTGCAAGTGAGCAGCTATAAATAACATCCCGGCGTTCGGCTGCGCGGGATATAAAAACCTCATTCGCTTCCT